AGACAGCTCCACCAAAATCTCGGAATTTCTCCAGAAGACAAAATTTGCTGTTGTTCACTCCCTGTAATGGAGTCTAATTTTACTTATGTAATGCTTGCAACTTTTGACTGGTTTAACTCATTTCTGCAAGTATTTGGGAAGGGATAGAATGACTGAAGTGTTGCTTTCTCACAGTAGGTGAATAATTAAATTTATTCAGTTTAAGTTTTCGGAGCAATCCAAATTTTCTTCCTGTCAGAAACAGCGTTACGAAGACATTGCTGGTTCTAACTAGAATAAGAATTCCACAAAACCACATTCAATGCGAATTCGCATTTCCGCTAGCGGATGACGGTAGAACTTGTTCACCACTTCAGAAACCTTCTGTATGGCACTGGTGACTTGAATATCGGTTTTTAAAGAGCTGTTCAACGGCTGCATATTATGCGAATACTGGCTCTGTTTTTCTCTCAAACCAAAAAATCAGCCGCAAGTCATCCTTTTAGAAACGATAAAAATAGAATAGCTGTGCTTTGCATTCAGAGCGCTCGGTAAGAAATAGCAGCAGTGGTGGCTGCTGTCGTACGCCTTTGGTCGATTTACCTATCGCCAGAAAAAAAGCATTTCTTAAGAATGTCACTGCCAAAACAAACTGTTTAGGTGTTTAAAATTTTTTTCTCTCACTTAATGATTCAAGTAAAATCGACGGCCTGTCATTATTTTTAAGAAAAACAGTGCAACGGAGGACATCGGATGACCGCACTTTATTATTTCTGCTGGTTTGACGTTCAGCCTTGTTACTGTGATTATGACTTCGCCTACATCGTTGAAAGTTTACTACCGCGCAGACATTTCCACTGATAGATTTAACCATCTCATCAAACCACATATTATACAGTCCCACTCGTTAAATCACGGCTCTGAGGTAGGATTTAGAAAACGACGTTTCGATTGACCTTTTTCTAAAAGACATTCTGCTAACGGATCCACCTTGAATAGTAAGGAATTATTCTGCAAAACATTTAGACGTTCACTGGACTCGCTTTCCAGTGATAGTAGAATAGTGTGAAGCTTTATTCCAACGCCAATATTTTATTGCCAATTTTCCGACTCTAAGTCTAATATGTTGTTTTTATTTACAATCGATGGCTGACGTTTCGGCGATTTCGCCCACCTCAGGGCCGTGATTTTACGAGTGGGACTGTATAATATATTATGTTTCTCGAGCGTCGATGACAAATCGGAACCGCCACCGGCGCTGTATAATCGTCGTTTTGTTTATGAGAATTTTCAGAACGATGAATAAAGCTGAATAACCTATTTCGAATCGTTTTAATTGCATTGCTCATCGACGAACAGTTTTGCAGCACAGCAGCGAACAGCACAAGGCTGCTCTTGTGCTTTCAATCCGGTACTTCCGTTTCTCAGCGATTCTCAGAGAATAGGGTACAACGACAAGGTTATAAAGTTTTCACTTGAGATTTCTGCGTGCACTTAATATCACTTCGAGATCAAATCAACCACAGTTTTGTCCTACTTTGCCGGTGTGCCAAAGCAGTAAGTATAGTGGTAAATAATGTTTTTTTTCCTATGTAGCGTGCCTCCCTTTTTAACATGACTGGCCACAATGGTATTCAAATCGTTGTGTGCGGAATTGGCCTACCTCATGCGTGTGACTGTCAAGTCCCACGAATGGTGGTCGCTCTCTTATGCGGCATGTTGTTAAGAGCAATTGGCACCAAGTCTTTGAATCAACTTTACTCCTTCCACTTCGATAAAACGCTACATTGGTGTCAAATACTAGTGTAAAATACCTGGTTTCTTGAGTTTTTTGTCTTTGTATGTAAAAGTGATTTACACTGATGGTGTCGCACTCCCTGCTTGCATCAACGCCACTGACTCTCCAAGGAAGCGGGCAACAGCAAACTTTTTAAAATTTCTTAAAGCTTGCTAAAGAGCCTAATTCTCCCGCATCTGAATTTTCCCGAGATCTGTAAAGGAAGCCTGAGAATAAGCTTCCAATTTGTAATGCTTCCATAATGGTTTAGTTTTGGGACCTCTCCCGTATCTCCACATAGGTCCACTAACGGCATGAAGAAATTAGGTTCGTTTAATTACCTAAATTTATTTTCTTACATTTGTTGAGGAATGAGCTCGAATGGAAAGATTACAGCATATTAACAAGCTGATGCTGCCACATTCTTCATATTTTCAATTCTATTATATATTTTTGCAGTAATTTCAAATTCTTCACATAAAAGAGCGCTCAGAAATAACAATAGCATGATCCTACCAGAAAAAGAACCGCTCAGTGTTCCAATAATTACGATTCCAGCATTTTCGCTGATCGATTGTAGTAGATCTCGTTCTTCAGTTGTGAAAACTGCCGAATAGCGCAAGATATAGAGAACTCCTCCCTTGAAAAGTTCTCTATCTATCTAAATAATGGTATTTGAAGTCCAAATATGGCCTCCTCGCACTCGCACATCAAACACCGCAATGTAACCTTTTCTAATCTTCTCGATCAATTATGTTCAATGTTTCAGGCACAATAGCGATTCAGGTTTGACTTCAGTAGCATAGCGACGATGGCTTATCCGAAGGAGGCGTAACCATAGAACAGTTTACTACTTCCTTGCGAAACAACGAAGCTAATGACGTTTGATGTTTCAGGCAGTTAGGTACAGTCTTGCGGTCCAGGATCAACAATCCAGATTAATCGCGGTTGCATACGCTCGTGGCTCCCGCAGCCGATATAAGCCAGGTGCCTTCGACGGCGGAGACATGCCATCACTCACCTCACCCCCGATCGGTAGCGCGGATAATCCGCTGCTCACAACCACATCCTCAATCATCCTCAATCACCTCAACTCATTCTTAGTCATGGTCATTCATTCTTATTGAATCACACTCATTCACACATTCACATTCAACCTTCAGTAATCAGCAGATTATTGTATCTTGTTTCTCAGCTTGTCTACGGTGCGATGTCAGTAGTGGCGGATGTTACCAAATGCGTTCTGTTTGCAACGCCATCGGTGGCATGTACCATTCCTCCCACAATGTACACGCAATGTGTACAATGCCGCTAAGCGGCCAACTTATGCTATGTATTCTGCTAAGCCGCTATAGGCTTATCAGTTTTGTAGCCACTTATCATACTGGCCCTTACCCTTAGGCAATGGTGGCACCCATCGATGCTCAAAGTTCACGTTGCTGACATAGCGTTATTCACGACCAACCGCCTGACTGTGTTCCGTAGATGACTCATTATTCACTGTCCATAGCACCGTCAACGCTCATGTAACTTACTGTCCTCATCGATCCACTAAAATGCTCCTCATCGCTATAATGTTGAAATCCTAGCTTGGCCGAAACACGGCCAGTCTGTAACCCTCACCACCCTTTCCGCGGCATACAGTCTCCTCCCTCCGCCCCCAGCATATCCCTCAGTCTATTCGCGGTGCGGCGCGGCATCGCTTACGACTAAGCAAAGGCTATTTCGTTGTAATCTCATTATTATTGGTAATATTGTGTTAATGGCATAATAATGTTTGAATGCCATTGCCTCATTGTTAGCCTCACTTCTCTACAGGCCTTAGCACTTCAGAGCTCTTACTTGTGTCATTCCTCTACCACTACTTCTCTATCGTTACTATCATGATATTAGTGTTGTATTTATGTATTAAATGTTTAATTACCCAAGTTTGTGGTTGGTAGTTCAATCACTACGACTAAAAGACCCGCGTGGCTAATATTCTACATCAATCTGAACCGCTACACTTCGCCGCTAACCATTTCGTTACACAAGATGCTGTTGGCATCGGGATGTGAAGAACTGTTTACTAACGACTCCATCTCATGTGAATTGCAAATCGTTGCGGAAAACACCTCGTTCACTGCATGAGCCGCATTGCAGTAGCGATCGAAGTAGTGACGTTTGCGCTATTTCTCCAATTCAGAATTTAGTGAGTTTTGTCCCGTTTCTCTCTCGGATGACGAATCAAACGCATGATTAGCACAGTGGGATTATCGGCACTGTTATGAGCTTTTTTTGTAAACGCTAAATAAAGATGAATAGACAGTTCGGTGTCGCTTTAGTTAATTTCTTCAGAAACAAGTTGTTTTGCTACAGCATTCCCCTTGTATTTCCAATGCAGTAGAAAATAAGCGAATTTTAGCGATTGGCGAAAAATGCCGCGTTTACACTTTTTCTGCAATAAATATTCTATACATGCGTTTCACAGTGGCTTATTATCATCCTTCAGCGTTAGTTTTGGTGAGCAACAGAAAAGGTGTATCTCAGCCCAAAGAAAGGTGTGGTAGACGTTCCATCACTGTGCTGTTTCTTTGAAGAGCATTCAGGCCGAGCTGTCTTATAACGCTATTTAGTGTGGATTGTTGCATGGAATCAACAAGTTGTTCTTGGGATTATACCACTTCCGTCATGATTTAATCCATTATTTTTTGGCCTATTACAAATTCGGTTGTTCTCCAGATACAGACATCAACAATAAATGAAGCTTCAGACTACGGCGAAAACGATTATTCGTTGAGCGCATTAACGTATTTGTTCTTCAAAAGTAAATCTTCGTGTTAAATTTCTGAAGTCGGAAGGTTTCCAAGTTGCAGTCGACACCAGAGCCGGGTCATATGCGAGGATGAGATTTCGAGACAACGGAACTGTTGGAGAAAGTGTTTGTTTAGCATGACATATGAAGGTAGGCAATGAACGTATGAGGTCAGTGTACTTCACATTTTACGGGTTTCTTTTCGACCTGCTGTAAGCTGATGATGGAGTATTTTTTAAATGTATGGACTTAGGGAATTTATTCGGCCACTTCTTGCATGCAAATCGGCTTACAAGGATAGTACTAGTAATTTATCACATTTAAACGCCAACTTTGTTTTTTTTCGTTAGTCTAGCCATTCAATATAGTTTTAGGCTAAAACTCTAACTACCACTGTGAACTCAATGACAAAATAGTTTATTCGAAACGCTTCACAGTTAAACTCGCGTTTCAGTTGACGGTCGCAAATGCCGAGGCGAAGTTCGTACCAAATGGACCCGATGCCAGCATTCGAACAGCTCTGTTCACCACACCTTGCCACATCTCTCTCGACCAGTTCGCCATGATGACATTGGTGGTCTACACACTTTTTTCTTCTTAAAATAAATTTCTGTGGAAAGGTAAGCAATACAAACCGTGAGGCTTCCGGAAATTGACAAGTGCCTAACGGGAATGCTACCGATCATCATCGCATTGTCTAGTTGACACATCATTGGTGCAGGCATTGCATTGCATAAAGCAGTCACCGTGTTCCCCACGATGACGCAGTGTGGCATCATCATGACATCAACTCCAGCAACTGCAAGTAACATCTTTATTCAACCGTTTCTTTCAATGCAAAAGTCAAAAGAGCCCAATAGTTAGCCTTTGTTTTTGGCTTTTGCGTTTTTTCCAATTTATGTTTTAGTAAATCTTTCTATTTCTGTTCAGCAAACACGAGGTGTTATTCTACTTCTTTATTTACGTACAAGCTGACGTTTCGGCGGATTTCGCCTTCCTCAGAACCCGGAAAGGTCAAGTTGAGAGCAACCTCTTCGGCCAAACACCTCAATGACCAAGCAGAGAAAACGCTAAACCAAGATTTCAATCACATTTAACACATCTCTGCGCACTCAGCGCTTTCTATGAATCTTCCACTGAGTATGACGTGTGAAGACCAACCACACAGAATTCACTAATGTGCCCCTCCCATCAGAATAACAGGTTTTTATACTGTCCAATATCAGGCGTGATAATGAGGCGTTCTTCCCTGCGGTTCATTTTCGGATTTCTGGAATTAATCCAGAACGCCCCGAGAGTTTTGCGCGCTTGTGTTCTTGATTCCTGCGCGAGCATCGTGACACGTACTTCAAAGTCCTCCCCGTTATGTCCCTGGGTCCTATGCGTGCCTAGCGGGGTATTTAGTTTGTTTGCCGGCTGGATGTTCTTTTATGCGAACACAGAGGGTTCTGCCCGTTTCGCCAATGTATTCGTCACCACACGTCTTACAGGAGATCAGATAAACTATACCCGAGCTCATGCAATCACCGTCTTTACCATTCGTGCAAATTATGCAATTTTCCGTTGCACAAAGACGGTCATATAGGCGGTTACGAACTAGTTGGCGCCTAAGATTACTAGATTATTAGATTATATTTTAGTTCTATAAATTCTTTCTTGAGCAATGGATCACTTGGCCAACTAATTGATCAATGCCGACGTTGGTAGGAAGCCGGTCATGGAAAATGTTGCCATGTCATTGTATACGAGCTGTCTTCACGTCCACTGTGCGGATCTCAGCACTTCTCGTATTCGATTATATTGTTCGCATCCATCGTCCACTTAGGTTTTCTAACGTTTACGCGAGACTTTTGTTGCTCTTTGAGGATTTTCGTTTCATCTCGAATGTCATGTATAATGTACTATCCACGTGATTTCTGTGCGGTTGGTCTCTACGTGACATACTTAGTGGAAACCTCATAGAAAGCGGCTCTGAAGAAGGCGAAATCCGCCGAAACGTCAGCTTAATCGTGAACAAAGAATAGTAACACCTCGCGTTTGCTCAACAAAAATACGAAGAAAAACAACTGGAGCATTCGGAGTTATTCGTTTGAACATCGTTTTTGTGAGATTTAGCCGAAGACCAATCTTTCGGCAGGCTTTATCAAAGCCGGCCAGCATTCGTTCCGCCTGGCTAATGTTTGGTACTATAAGGACGATGTCATCATCAAAGCGAAGATGGCGTAACTGCCGACCATCGATTTTCACTCCCATATTATCCAGTTCCAATGTTCGCATGACGTTCTCGAGGGCGATGGTAAATAATTTTGGTGAGATTATATCGCTCAGCCCATCCCCTCTTCAGACGTCGGTGTTAATATTGTTGGAGATTAGTGATATTTTAGTTCTAAAGTTTTTGTGCAATTTACAAAGAATCTTTATGCACTGAGTAGGGACGTCTTGACTATCAAGGGCTTCCATTAATCCCTCTATCTCAATTGAGACAAATGCCTTCTTTATATCTCGAAAGACCGACTTTCTATACACCTCGGCATAGATAGTTGATATATTTATTTATGTGATCTTATAAACTGATCTTCCTAAGCTGACGCGAGGTTGGTACAGATCTTCGTTGTCGTTGTCGTTGTTTTTGATGTTATTGATCGATGGCTGACGTTTCGGCGACTTCGTCTTCCTCAGAGCCTGGACGTACTTTATGTTAGAATACTTTTTATTATTCGGTGGAAAAGAAGGCTAAAGTATTAATGAAGATCAAACTTTCAAACATGTCCGCCATATTGGACAGAAAGGCCACTAACCGTGTTGTTACGTGCTGGACTGGCCCACACGTAGATCACGTGGAGTCGCGAGCAAGACACGCCCCGGTGTCAAAATATCATTTTGAAATAGGGCGCCAGGTCACGCGTGATAGTGAGGCATTCGTCCTTCCGGTTCATCTTTGGATTTTTGAAATTTATCCAAAACGCCTCAAGAGTTTTGCGCGTTGATGTTTTTGATTCCTGCGCTAGGATCCGCACATTCACTTCAAAATCATCGCCGTTGTGCTTTTGTGCCCTATGCGTNAGTTCACGTGGAGTCGCGAGCAAGACACGCCCCGGTGTCAAAATATCATTTTGAAATAGGGCGCCAGGTCACGCGTGATAGTGAGGCATTCGTCCTTCCGGTTCATCTTTGGATTTTTGAAATTTATCCAAAACGCCTCAAGAGTTTTGCGCGTTGATGTTTTTGATTCCTGCGCCAGGATCCGCACATTCACTTCAAAATCATCGCCGTTGTGTTTTTGTGTCCTATGCGTACCTAGAGGGGTGTTTAAACGGACTTTAGCATTCCCATCTAGATGTTCTTTTATGCGGACACAAAGTGGTCCACCCGTTTCCCCGATATATTCCTCGCCGCATGCATTACATGAGATCAAGTATATTATACCTAAACTCATGCAATCCCCGTCTCTCCCGTTAGGACAGATCATACAGTTTTCTGAGCTGCACAAACGATCATAGAGACGGTTTCGAACTAACTGGCGGCGTAGGGTATTGGGTGGGATGTCAATAATCGTTACATAATTTTCAAGACCACTTTTTCTTAAGCACTTTTTAATGGCGTGACTTACTTCATTTGATATNCACAAAGTGGTCTACCCGTTTCCCCGATATATTCCTCGCCGCATGCTTTACATGAGATCAAGTATATTATACCTAAACTCATGCAATCCCCGTCTCTCCCGTTAGGACAGATCATACAGTTTTCTGAGCTGCACAAACGATCATAGAGACGGTTTCGAACTAACTGGCGGCGTAGGGTATTGGGTGGGATGTCAATAATCGTTACATAATTTTCAAGACCACTTTTTCTTAAGCACTTTTTAATGGCGTGACTTACTTCATTTGATATGAAGGGCAGCTTAATATGGCGTCTATTTGAAAATTTGATCTTCATTAATTTTTCCACCGAATAATAAAAAGTATTCTAACATAAAGTACGTCCAGGCTCTGAGGAAGGCGAAGTCGCCGAAACGTCAGCGATCGATCAATAACATCAAAAACAACGACAACGAAGATCTGTACCAACCTCGCGTCAGCTTAAGAAGATCAGTTTATAAGATCACATAAATAAATATATCAACCTTCTTTATATCGATGAAAATGAGAGAGGGCAGAGGGCGGTCTTTTGCACTCTCGCGATACTTCAATGAGTCTTGTAATCGCGTGGATGTGGTCCATTGTACTAAATCCTTCTCAAAACCCTGCTTGCTTACATGGCTGCTCTTAGTGCAGTGTTCTGTTAAAAATGTTTAAGATGACTCGAGTAAAAAAATTACCAGAGGACAGACAGCAAGCAGATTCCTTTATAGTTGCCGATACAGTGTAGGTCCCCCTTCTTAAGCAGTAACATGGTCATGCTGGTCTTCTACTGAGTAGGGACCTTGAATTCAGACAGGAAACGTGTGGAGAGCCGAGCCAATGTGTTTACGAGGACTGGCTGGAGTTTTTTTCAGGTGCTGAGATCTTATCCACTCCGGACCTGGTTCTGTTCGATTTTTCATCGACGAAATGGCATGTTAGACTCCGGAAGAGAGAACCGGTGGTTCAACATATCCATTCTTATTTCATATGATGAAAGGTGGACGTGGCACTCAAACAGATCTGAGTAGTATTCGTGAATGATTTTCTCCGTTACCTTTCTGGACGCTGTAACTGTCCCGTCTGGGAGCCGGAGTGCAATCACTTTGGACTTGTAATTGGAAGGCTTCGGTGGGCTTTGTGAATGCTTTTCGCAGTCTCTGCATCTTCGACCCTTACTACTGCTCTTCTCCCCCTAAGATCTTTTTCTATCGTCTGTCTGCATTGTTTTGCAAGTTCGGACGTTAGTTGGCAGTTGCCCGCAGCTCGTGCGATTCCGCACTGGAGTATCGGCTCGAGAGTTTCTGGAGATAGACGTCTCTTGGTGACTTTTGAAATCTTAGTTTTCATGGCTTTAACGTAAAGATGTTGAGTGGGCCCATCACATTCTTCGTAGATGTTATCGACAGCGACATCTTCCAAACAGCCCACTAGTGAGTTGAATATGTGTCAATTCATTGTGAGTGTGGAACCTCTTTTTTGAATTTAGCGGCTTTTTTTCCGTTCCCCAAAAAATGGAATCTTGCAGGAAGGAGGCGGTCGTCTAATCTCGCGTAGATTTTTGAGGCTTCAGCGACATCGGTTAGGCAAAACTTTCGGTTTACTGTGACGTGGTCAATTTCGTCATGGTACCCTCCACTGAAAGACTCCCACGACCAGCGCTGAGCGTGGCGCTTTTGGAATTGCGAGTTACCATGGACGGTCTCGGTAGCCATGATAAACTCAGATAGCCGGCCACCCTCTTTGTTGCATTCTAATCCATCAGTCCCAATGTAACGTTTTTCAGACGTTCTTCTTGGTCCAATCTTGGCGTTAAAATCTCCAATGGCGACATTGAAGTATGTATTGTCTTCTCTGTGGACCTTATCCAGGTGCATACAAACCGCTTCGAGTTCTTCTTCGTCACAGTTTGATTTCGGCGCGTAAACAACGAAGATTGTCAAAGCCGGAATTGATCCGTATCCTTTTAATCGTAAACGTTCGATTCAGCTTGTAAGTCGTTCGAATGGATCGAAGTTTATGGACAAACTCGTGTCGACGAGAACACCGCACCGACACTGCCGACTCCTCTACTGTCGCATGTTCCGAGAAACACTTTCTCTCTGGTTTCATACGCGGCGTTGAATGGGTGCCGTCGTCTCGTCTCGACCAGGCCGATGACGTCGTACCTCATCCTTCTTGCTTGAATGAATAAGTCTTCTATCGAAGACTCGGATGCAAGTGTACGTGCATTGCAGGTATAGATCGTGTCCTTAGTTCTTCGCGTTTCAACCAGCTTCCACTGGTCCTGAGATTTTACAAACTCTCCGTGCTCGTGCTACCCAACGATGCCGAATTTGGAGGGAGGTAATGGTGGGCCAGAGGAATGAGGCCCCTTTCTTCTACTTTTTTTTAGCTTTTGATACTCACGCATCGTATCTTGCTAGGCTTTGAAATCGGGGCGGGATATTCAAGGGTTGCTTGCCAGTGTCACCCGTAGTGGACATGAAGCTTATTTGTTAAACGCGACTCCCAACCGCCTACAATATAGTTGTTCCATGTCACTTGATTGCAAACCTTTAGCCGTTTTACTCCTCGTAAATATGTAACGCATTTGGCAAATCTGCACGGCAAAAACGGGAAGTCTATCACCTGGATCCACCTGCCTCTTAGGGAGGAAAAGGTCGCCTTCGCGATTAACCTTTATCCATCACCTGGAGACGCGCCACGTAGCCTGGCGCCTATACGGCTCGAGGTCCCTTATATGGGAATCCTTAGTGGTATGAATTATTACCAAACCAAATTGCTCTTCCTTATATAAGGGATCTCGAGCCGGTTAGTCGCGAGGCTACGTGGAGTGTCTCCAGGTGGCAGATCGTGGGTTAATCGTAGACCAAAGGCGACCTTTGCTACCCTGAGGCGCAGGTGGATCCAGGGTATGTAGTTCCTGTTTATGCTGCGCCGATTTAGCACATACTTTCTGTATTTGCTAGGGGTATTCAAGCGTGCGTGTGTGGGTGCGCTCTCGTTTGTGCAGATTGTATTCAAGTCAATTCGGCTAAAAGCCTGCAATCAAGTGACAGGGAAGTATATGGGTGGCGGCTAGGAGTCGCCTCCAGCAAGTTAGCTCCATTTTCGCTTGGGAGAGGCTGGTAAGTTATCTGCAAGTATACCCAACCTTCACGTTTAAAGCTACAGCAAGATGTACGTGGGTATCGAAATGCTAAGCACGGTAAAAAAGTGGGCCTCATTCCCCGACCTCGAAAGAGCCCTCGATTTCGCAGCGTTGGGTAGGAAGCATACGGGTAGGCTACTGAAGTCTCAGGACCGATGGAAGCTGCCTGGATTACAAAGAACTATGATGATGATTTGTGCCTACAATGCACGTACACTTGCATCCGAGTCCGCTATAGAAGGCTTTCTCATGCAAGCAAGAACGATAAGGTATGACGTCACCGGCCTGGCCGAGACGAGGCGACGCCACCCATACAACGCCGTTTATGACACCGGAGAAGAACTTTTCCTCGGAACATGCGACAGTAGAGGAGTCGGCGGGGTCGTTGTTAGTGTCAACACGAGTTTGGCCATGGACGTCGATTCATTCGAACAGCTTACAGCCCAAATCGGACGTTTACGATTAAAAGGATGTGAATCACTACCGGCTTTGACATTCTTCGTCGTTTACGCTCCGACATCAAACTATGACGAAAGAAGAAGTCGAAGCATTCCATATGGACTTGGAGAAATTCTACAGGGAAGACCATACATTCTTCAAGGTCATCATTGGAGATTCCCAACATCAAGATTGGATAAAGCAAAACGTCGGCAGAACGTTACATTAAAACCAACTGACTAGAATAGAACGAACAGGTTGAGCGACTCTCTAAGTTTATCAAGATCATCAGCATCCTCTATGGTAGTTCGCAATTCCAGAATCCCTACCCTCAACGCTGGGCGTGGGAGTCTCCCAATGGAGAGTACCATAACGAAATAAACCGCGTGATAGTAAATAGAAGGTTTTGCCTAACCGATGTCGCTGCTGTCCCAAAATTCTACACGGGATCAGAATATCGTCTCCTTCGTGCAAGATTCTATTTCTCGCGAAAAGGAGAAAAAGCAACCAAGTTCAGAAACCGAAGTCCCAGAACCACCGTAAACTGGGGCTTAATTTATTAGTCGCCTGGTGTGAAAGTGCCGTTGTAGATAACATCAAGAAGGAATACGATCGACTCATTCAACATCTACACGTTAGCGCTATGAAAGCTGAGTGTTCGAAAGTCACCAAGAGACGTCTCTCTTTAGAAATACTTGAACTGATACACCAGCGTGGAATCGCACGAGTTGCAGGCAACCGCGAACTAACGTCCGGACATGCAGAACAATGCAGACAGGAGATAAAAGAAGATCTTAAAGTCAGAAGAGCAGCAGTAGTGGTCGAAGCTGCAGAGGCTGGGAGAAGCTTTGGCGCGCAGCGAATTTTCGCCAATTACAAGACCGAGATGATTGCACACCGACGCCCAGACGGGCTGGACATGTAATGCGTATGAAAGACAATCGCTATACAAGAACCGTTAGTGATTGGATTTCTCGGGATGTCAAACGTACTGCAGGAAAACCACTCATCCAATGGTTAGAGTTTTTCACGAAAAGTCTAGAAGATATGATGCTCGACGAGTCTCCAGAACGAGCAGAACTCACTGGGCTGCTCGTGCAAGCAATAGAAAAAAATGGAAGATTTACCGGCTCCCGCTCGAGTCACTCGACGAACAACGGGACTGCTGGTGATACAGGTGCCTAATTAGTAGCAATATCAATTGCAGTAATAAGAATCAAAATGTTCTGAGCGCGCATTACCCTTTAAAAGCTTTCGAAATTATTGCAAGCACACTTAATTTTGACCCGTCTCCCTCACAGCTAATTCATCTCCACATTTACTTCTAATTATAGATGGTTTCTGCAATGAGCGCGCTATAGCTCTTCTTAAACCGCTTGTGCGCTATCAGTGTAACCTCCTAGAAATGTTCTTAGAAGTCAAAAACTCACATGGCATGTTTGCTGGTGGGTTAACAGCCACTGTCATGCATTGCAGTGGAGTATACCTGACTTGAACAGTGAGCTGACCCAAAATGAGAGAGATTATTGCATCAGACAAGCCGGCACTACGACCTTGCCGCTCGAGAACATCAACAACCTTAAGAACAAGTTCCTTCATTAGATGGTAAAGTTTATATAGAAGCGTTTTTAATCAAGTTGTCTTGAGCTATAATGACAAAATGTGTTGGAACTAGAACGCTGACGAATTTTGTAGAAATTTAAACTTATTGGTTACCTTCTTCCAGAAACCGAGAGAAAAGAAGGACTTCAAAAAATCAAAGTGTTATGAACTCACTGCTTGCATTACGAGACGTGATACAAATGCCTGAGCTCCCCCCTCGCTATTTGCAATGCCAGCCACTTGCACAGGGACGTTGGCTGCGGTGGAGTAGACCATAGCCACTGGCAAGGTAAAGCCGGTGATACTGAAGGTCCTAGTCCTTGCTGCAAGAAAATCCTGAAGTTTTGTAGTTAGTAGTTAAAAAATATTCCAACCTCTACTAATTGAAATTGAAAATTTTCTGGTCGAAAGGTTTGTGTTAAGTCAGTTCGTGAATACTAGTCAAGTGTTGGATACATTCACTCCTTTTGCGGCTAAAGACTTTATATTTAAAATTATGTGCTGCTATGATAATTTTTTGTTTATTACCTTGACCTGGTGGCATCATCCCACACCCCAATACTGTGGAGGCGGTCGCTAATAGCGGAATCAGAAGGGCCAGAAGTTTCGCCATTCTTGTAAGACAGTTTATTTTTGCTCGCTAAAAATGTAATAAACATTGTAGACTAGGACGAAAGCAAATAATTCTCTGACTCCTTGAGAGCAGACACGAGGCTGTCAAGTTAATGATTTTTTTTCCATACAAGCAAGATGACATTTAGCTTTAGGCCGATGAAAAGAAATGTCCTCCTTTCTGGAACGGAACATTCACGAAGCAGCAGCTGATGTGGTATTCAGCACTTATGCGTCAGTGACGTCAGCCAGGCCGATGTTCTTGCAACTCTTTCACTTTTTTAAGAGCATTAGAGCTTTCGAGCCCACTGAATTCAAGGCAAGTTTTTCAGAGCGACTTTCGTGATAGATTCTGCTGTTGCGAGACCTATGGAGACTGCTTGGTGAGATAAACTGTACTACAAATATTGAATGTGAACGACGTACGTGCAAGCGATCGTCTAGCAAAAATTTTAAAAGACGGGCCAATTCCTCATGTGCCGTGACTTAAATTGTGTTACCATCATTTCATTTGTGTTGTTGCGTCGTAAAATCTTAGCTTTCCCACAAATAAGGAAGTTAACAATCCTTTTCGCAAGTCTACCTTTGAGAAAACATTTGTGGATGCAGTTATCGATTCAAAAAAACGAAGTAGAACTTCAAGTGTGAAACATTCCTGGTAAGAATTGCCTGCGAAGCAGAAATATTATTTCTTAAGCCTCTACCACTTCTCAAAGTACAGCTACGAAATCTCCATTCTTGGTGAAGGAGCTGACTGTTGGCCAAAACAAACCCTATTCCATAGTTTCACTCAAAAATTCAGAAACGCGTGTTGATTAGGGTGACACTAAGAACCTATCAATATGAAGAATAAAATAGGAAACCAATTCAGAATTGATCATTCGATTTATGCAGTATCACATGCTTACTAAGTGATCCCGAAACAGCTGCGCTAATGCTTCATGTTTTATCCCAAGGCACAGGAATCCTTCATTTTGCTGGAACTTCTAGTGCATTAAGAAAAGAAAAGAAATTGGGCGCTTTTGAAGCCTGAAGTTGCACTGAACTAAGACGTCCTTGGTAAACGTTTTAAACGTTCCAAGTTCCTCAGAAATCGTTATGTTTATGAAACGCCGCCAATTTCTCGCAATTTTTCCATGATGTGCAGACAAAACAAAACTTGCTATTATACTTTTCATATACAGAAGTCTCGCTACATTCGCGTAACGTTTACAACCACTTCACTGATTTCACTCATTTCTGCAGATGTTTGGGAAGGATCACCAGAAAAAGCCGAACTCTTGCTTTCCTATATAGTAGGTCGTCAATTCGATATGTGCAGTATCACATGATTACCAAGTGATCCCAAATTCTTTACGTAAAACAGCGCTCCGAAGTAATAAATTCCATAATCTGACTAGAAAAAGAACTGCTCAGAGCTGCAACGAATAGATCATTTTCGCTCATCGATTACAGTACACTTCGCTCTTCAGTTGACCAAATTGCTGTGTGGCCAGACGACACTTTGGCCATCGGATTTAGAAAACTGTTTACTAAAGGCTTTGTCTCATGCGAATTGAAAATTGTTTTCTTACCAGTTCATTTACAGCACTTTTCAGTGAAGTTTTATTACCACTGCGTCCGCAGTGGAAGTCTTAGGTACTGTTCTTTCTGTTGCCCTGGAATCAGCAGTAGTCGAAGAAACTTCTATTGAGCACGTCAATTTAAAAAAGTGATAAAACTTTTATCGGGATACTACCTATACCGTCATGAATGAGAAACATTATCCGCGCGGCTTATACTTCACTGGGAGAATCTAAATATGGCATTTTTCGGCAATCCCTGAAAGTCGCTGACCCTATCGTATTGGAAATTCAAGGGCAATGCAGTGGCAAAACAACTTATCAGCAAATCAACTAAAAAAAGACAGAACTGCTTATTTGCCTTTATTTAGCGTTCATAAAAAGTTCATAACAGTACCAATGATCATACAGTGCTGACGGTGGTTTCGATTCGTCATCCGAAAGAAAAACAAAGCAGAGTTCGTTACGTACTGAATCGGATAATTCTCGCTAACATCACTATTTCAATCATTACCGTGTACAATGAAGACAGTGAAAGAGGTGTTTTCCAGTATTCCCGGCAAATATTTCTAGCAGTGCCTAAAGCCCGTCAGTTTTGAAAGAGGAACCACTGCGTTCACCAAGACTTCTTTCATAAGAGAACCTTCCAAAGCTTTCGATGCTGAAAGGCGTTTCTACATTTTCTGCAACAATTATTTCGTGTATGCATCTCATATGAACTTGTTGCCATGTTTCAGTGATAATTTGGTTGAGTAACAGGAAAAGGGTATCTCAGCACAGAGAAAAGTAGAAGACGTTCTGGTCATAAATGTGAAATCGTACGCACCGCTAGTACTGTTTAATCATCTGCCCTTTTACGACTTTTTACGAACGCTGAACGAAGCTGTACAAGTGGTTCCGTGTTCTAGTGTTCCGCCCTGCTGATTGAATTCACGAGCAAAGAACATTTTTTCTCGCCATTTCCCTTCCGCTTCCAATACGACACCGCAGTTGTTCACCGAATTTCTGCCAAAAAAGAAAAAGCCTCAAATTTCAAGTTTCCGTGTGGGCAGTCTCGTGAGTGCTCAATGTGAATACAAATTTGGTATAGGTGCTGTTTTTATTCTATTTTGTAATCAGCCACCAGTTGTCCCACTGGTCCTCGAGTGTCTCCGCAGCGCGCCGGTAAACCTTTCATTTCTCCTTGGCGTGTGCAAGAAAAGTCTTGTGGATTTGGCACGCACTAGACACTCGTTGAGCACCGAATATTTCTCCTCGCACTTTCTTGAAGAGCTTTGACTACTGGTTCGGTTGCCTTTCTGTTGTCCGTTTGGCATTCCGCGGAATCCATTCATTAGTGGATGTTGTCAATCGGTGGTCGTTCAACTGTTTGGACCATCTCATCATTGACAATTGCGCGTATGTATGTCGGAGTTCAGTTTATCCTTTCTTATTTCCGTGACAAGAGATACACTCTGCCCTTAGTTGTCTAACTAGGGTTACTCCTAGCATCGTCCTTTCTACTGTGCCTTTAATAACGCTGTCTAATTTCTCATCCTGTTTACGCATCGATCAGGTTTCTGACGCATGCGTTATCGCAGGAAGTATCGTTTAGTCGAAAAGGTGAGCACGGAGTTGGGTGTTTTTTGTTCTCCTCACTACATCATCGAAGCTCTTGAAAGATCCCCAAGCCACTCGTTTCCTTCTGCTGATTTTTCTTAAACCCAAAGAACAGCTATAAGTCATACAATTTGGATCGGTAAGGAAGAACAACTATGATTTGTATTCAAATCACTCGGTAGGAAAGCTCAGTAGTGGCGACTACTGTGCTACAACTTCGATCCATTTACGCATTGCCCGAAAAAAGCCAGTTCTTGCAAATGTCACTGCCAAAACTGCCTGTTTGTAAAGTTTATAAAAATTTTTTCTTTAAGTGATGTTTTAGGAAATATACAAAGCCTCCTGATTTAAAAAAGTGCTTCGGTGAACATCGGACATCCTCACTTTGTTAACCCTGCTGGTTTTACGTTTATCGCCGGTAGTGCTATTATAATTTCGCCTACATCACTGAAAGTTTGTTAGTGCACCGACGTTTTCACTATAGGTTAAACCATTTTCTTAAATTTTATTAAATCTTAGAATTACTCTGTAAAAGACGATGTTTCGATCGTCCCTGTTTTAAAACACATTCTTCTATCGGATCCACGTTGAGGGAATTGCTCTAGAAAGCAGTTATGCTTTTATAGGAATCGCTCCCAGTAATAGTCCAGTAGTGTGAAAGCCTTATCTCAGCACTAACACTTTATTGTGGATTCTCCGACTCCAAATGTAAGACATTATGCTTCCAGAGCGCGTGTGACGGTTAAGGAGCGCCAAAGGTGCTGTATCATTGTCGTTTTGTTCATGAGTTTTTTGGGAATGATGAATGAAGCTGGGTAAGCTATCTCGATTCGTTTTAATTGCATTGCTCATCGACGAACACTTTGCAACAGACGGTGTTTCAATACGATAATTCCGTCTGCCAGCAAATTTCAAGGAATGGAGAAAAACCGCTAATTTCCCAAGTTTCCAATTGAAATTCCTGCGACCATTTCATATCACAATCTTAACCCTTTTATTTACTGCCTTTTTCTTTTTAATGGTAGGGTATGTTGCGAAACATAACTCGTATATAATGCTGAGATATTTGCAAAACTCCGGACCGCAGGTGTATGCGGTGGAGAACGAACACGCGTTGTTCCCGGTAAGGACAACAGCGCGTGTTCGTTCTCCACCGCATACACCTGCGGTCCGGAGTTTTGCAAATATCTCAACATTATATGCGAGTTACATTTGATATCACTTCGAAATCACAGCAACCACAGTTTTTATCCCCCTCTGCCAGTGTGCCAAAGCACTAAGTTTCGCGGAAAATAGTGCTTTTTTTCAAGCAGTTTTGCTTCTTTTTTATCATGGTTGGCCATAAGGGAATGAAATTGCTGTGCGCGTCGTTGGCCTAGTCCGTGGGTGTGGCTGTAATGCTTTATGGAAGGTTATCGATGAGTTTTGTGGAGTGCTGTTAACAGCAATGAGCACGCGCTACAGCTGTGTAAAACATCTTGTTCTCGGAGATCCTTGTCTTTG